CAGGAGAGCAAACCAGCTAAGTGTGTCCATGGAGCTAAAGTGTCAGTAGCCCAAGCTTTACACAGGTTCCCTCAAGACTGGCCAGTGGCCAGTGCAACAAGAACTGACTTCGGCAGAGCCAGCCGAACACAAGTCTCAACTCTGAAGCGAAAGAAGACGAAGGGGACAAGAAAGAAGATGCTGAAGGGACAAGAGAAAAGAAGTCCACTTTTAGCAATGCCAGAAAGTCCCCATCACCAAACGTTCGCCTCTTTGTTGTGTGGCATGGTTGCAGATAGAACCCAGGCCCTCACATAGCTAGTGAGCATGCTGCTCATGGGCTGTGCCTCCAGCCCCTTTGTCACATGTTCTTAATATGCCTCAGCGTGTGAAGGTTCTTGCTGCCCCACAGCTGGATCCCTGGAACCCATATGGTGGAGACAACTGACTCCGCAAATCATCTCTGACCACACACAAACATGCATGCACGCAGTAAAAAAAAAAAAAAATACAAGAATTAGAATAAACAACAAAAACCTACACAGAGCAAAGAATTTCTGGTGGGGCCTCTGACAGGAAAGACATGGGCTTGGGTAATGAAACAGGGGACAGGCTCAGGAGGAGTGGGAGCAGAGGGCAATGTTGGCAAATGATACAATGTACAGAGGCAGGTAGGTATCTTTCCACAGGAAGACGGTCTGGTTTCTCACTGACAAGTTGATTCCAAGAGATCACTGGGACAGTTGAGAAAGTGTTGGGGCAGAGACAGCCACTGCTTTGTGAGCCCACAAGGCCTTATGTCTGACTCCACAGGGCAGCTAGGTGGGTGTCTCTCTGTCTAGGTTTAGGACTCGAACTTGTCTACTTTCCATTACTAAAACAACAGCAGAGGCTGCCTACTACAGAAAGGCCTCTCTAACTCCACAGTTCTAGAGGTTCGACTTCACGGTGCTGGCACCGGGCAGGCTCTGGTGAGGGCCCTTCCTTCAGAGATTATAATGGTGGGAACATGTGTGAGAAGCCACACGGCAAAGGGGCAGAGCGAAAGGCTAGGAAGGGGACAGACTAAGGACTTTCTCTTGAATACTGGCTTGGGTCTTACAAGAACAGCATTAATCTCTTCTGAGGCAGTGTCCTCAGGGACCTAACCCCTCTTTCCGGGCCCCATCTCTGAAAGGTTTCACCCACGATCAACACTGCCACATTGGGGACGAAGCTGCAACACGCGAACCCTTGGGGGGCACAAGGGTATCCCCAGGGCGAAGTTCAGCAATGTGTGTGTTCTTAAGCACCCACATAGTGTCTGGAGCATCCTTTGTCCCCCAAGTCCCAAGGACTCCCGAGAACTAGGGAAACCTCCGGCCTCAATGGCAGACACGGAAAACAAGCACTTGGCATCGCCGGTTACAGCGCTGAGGGCTCCAAATGCCAGCGGCTGTCTCTGAAAACCATGGCAATTCTCAGGACTCAGAAGAGGGGACGTTTACCAGCATTTCCACCCTTTCTGATGGGAATCCCAACTTCTAAACATCTGTCTTCCAGAAAACGTTTGAGAACACTGTACCCACTTGGGAAGTGTCCGGCTCAGGCTGTGAAGTAGTGGCTCATTCCCTTGGCTCGTACTCCTTCACTGTCTTGGGGCGGAATGTCTAAATTACAGAGAGCTGGTCAATGAATAGGCATCTGGCATGTTCAGCCCCCCACCATGCACCCATTTTCCCACAGTCAACAGCCTGGGAATAAATATGGGCCTTTCCTGGGGAAGGGAGGTACCATTATAAATAGGCCTGTGTTTGTAAACAGGCCAGTGACCCTATATACACCAGCTCTACATGGACCGCAGTCTGCCGTGAGCGCCTTTCCCCAGGGTACGACTTAAAGGATGAAAGCCAGAGGATTCGGGTTTCCGCCCTACGTTCGTCTATAAATCGCTGCTGGCAGGTAGCTGGGAAGCAGCTGCCGATTCCGGTTGTGCTCTGGATCACAGGAAGCCACCTTTAACCTCCCCGCTGTTGTCTGTCTCCCCAGACGTGACGAAAGAACAGATGTAAGCACATGCCAGCTGCTGAGAGGGTCTGCTCGGAGCACTAGAGGAAGCCTGTTCAGCCACACCGCCAGCCGCTCCAAGGAAGGACGACCGAGTTCACTTCCTGACGGTCTCACTACACAATGTATCTGCAGCATCCGGACCATGATGCCTCCACAGTTCCCACTCCCCCTCCAGCCTTCGTCCCCGAGCTCCCTCGATGAGATCTCTTTCCAAAATCCTGTGCAGATGTCAGTGAAGTCCTGCTCAGCCACCCCCACTCCCCGGCAGTGAAGGGTCTTCTAACCTCCTGCCTTATGTGTAGATGGGACTCCCTTCCACTGCCTGCCTTCTGCCCATTCTTCGGTTTCCTGTGGGTCAAACTCAGTTCTAAAAGCTCCGCCATTGGTTCTGTGACTGCTGGTGCCTGGGCTCACACACCTGTATCACCCCATAGCAGTGTCTTTCGCACCAATGCACACACTGCATGAACCGTTAGTGCAGAGATATGAATCTATTCAATTATTCCCCGTGTCTTAAAAATGTGAAATTAAAAACAAACAAACAAACAGCTTACAAAAGGCAGCCTTGGGGGCAACTGGATAATTATAAAGGAGATATTAGACGATGGTATGAATTTTAGTCTTCTATGTAGGAAGCCTTATTATATTTAAATACTTTCTTTCCAACTTTATTCCTTATTTTATTTTAGGTTTACATACAAACAAAAATGAGCTAAAGGAACTGAGAGAACCTATACATTTTTTCTGAGGTTCTTCTATTAGCAACGTTGCCCACCAGACTGTGTATTTGTTAAAAATCAATAAACCTTCCAGGTGTGCTGGTGCCTTTAATTAATCTCAGCACTAGGAAGGCAAAGACATATGAATCTATGTGAGTTCAAGGCCAGCCTAGTCTATAAAGCAAGTTCCAGGTCAGTCAGGGCTATACAGCGAAATCTTTTCTCAAACAAAACAAAAACCCAATTACATCAATGAACCTAGGGCTGGAGAGATGGCTCAGTGGTTAAGAGCATTGCCTGCTCTTCCAAAGGTCCTGAGTTCAATTCCCAGCAACCACATGGTGGCTTACAACCGTTTGTAATGAGGTCTGGTGCCCTCTTCTGGCCTTCAGGCATACACACAGACAAACATTGTATACATAATAAATAAATAAATATGTATTTTTTTAAATTAATGAACCTATACCCACACATTACCCCGACTCTCAGTTTTCTATGGTTCGGTGTACGTGTTACACATTCTAGGGTTTTGGACAGATGTACAACATGTGTCTATTATTAGAGCATCAGAATAGACTGGCTACCTAAAAGGACTCTGTGATATTTTTATTATTGTTATTATTATTATTATTGATGTATGATAAAAGCGTTGGGAGGTGGGCTGGAGGGATGGTTCCGCAGGTAAAAGTACTTGCTGCTCTTCCAGAGGAACGGGGTGTGGTTCTCATCATCCATACTGGGTGGCTCACAAACACTGTAATTACAGCTCCAGGTGATAGGATCCCCCCTTCTAGAGTCCATGAGCACCCAAATACACAGTGTACACGCATGTGCACACATACACATAGACCAACATATACATAAAAATCAACCGAGCAATAAAAAAGAAAATTGGTATGGCCAACTCACTGTTGTAACTGCCAGAGAAATGCTTGCCATACAAGCCTAGAGACCCAGGTTCAATCCCTCAGACTCCACATAAAGGTAGTGAGAGAACAGAGCACGTGTAGAACACTGTGGCACACATGCCCTCACACACACACCATGCACAGATACAAACAGTAAGTAACAACTTAAAAGCAATATATTGACTGTCAAGTTGACAGGCCCTACTATTAAGAGACTATATCCAGTACTATTTAGACTAGGTGAGCCCCTGGCTCGGCCTGGGAAGTGTTATCTTCATCCGGGTAATGAGAAGGGAAGATCCACCCAACAGGTGGGCAGTACCACTTCCTGGCTGGGGTCCTGCACGGCATCCAGCCGCATTCAAGGTTGATGGCAGATACAATAGGACCCGCTGTCTCAAGTCCTTGCTGGAATGACTTCCCCACCCGAATGGCCTGTGACAACCACACACTGTGCCAGAATAACCCTGCCAGGACACTAGGGGAGTCACAGGAACACAGCTAGCAAGTCTGCTGAATCTTGGTGTCAGACACAGTCACCATGCCATTCTTTAGATTTTTCATAAAACAAATAAACAAACAAACAAAACCCAGGAAACGGAATCACCAAAACCAGAAAGTATAGTACCAAGATTAGCATTCAGGTGTCCGCTGAGGTGTCACAACAATGTCACAACCCTGCTGGGTCACAACAATGCTCTCCTCATTGTGGGTCAAGGTGCTTGGATTCACAATGCTACATAACCCCCACTCGCTGCTCCAAGCAATGGATGGGCAAGCAATTGCACGTTAACTGATTTTTCAGAAGCAAAGGATTTCCAGGGAGAAGGACGCTGAGCAGTCATTTTGTCCCAGTTATATCCCATTAACTGAAGTAGTGTCCACACCTAAGCCCTTTCGTCCTTACTCAATATCACGTCTCTCATGTCAGAAGCAGAATCACTCACGGGGAGTGGCGGTGGCAGTGAGGGCGGTGGGGGTGGTGGGGCTGTCCTTTTGGCTTTCCTTTGGCACCAGTGTGTTCAAAGAAGGTTGCAAGGAGAAGATCAACTGTCCTGGTCTGCCTGGGACTGTCCTGGGCAAACCAGAGCAGCTGGCCCCCTGGATGTGCCAGGAGCCCTTAGGACCTGAACTTTGAAGGTCTGGGAGTGTGGGCTGTGCGGAGGGCTATATCACTGCAAGGATGAGTAGGGGGTCAAGATCAGAATGTGACAAACTGGAATGACGGAGTTTTCTATAATAGCAGCCACAGAGCAACTTCAAATGCCACGCGGCAAAGTGTCCTTAATGGGCAACGTCTCTGAAGGTCATCTACTATGGGAAACAAGGGAGAAAGGAAACTCACTGTAAAAACATCATCGTCTCCGAGCTCGGCCTCGTTGTGAATAGTGGAAGATGAGGTGGTGGAGCCTAAAAAGACAAGAATGCAATCAAATCAATCAAGTTGTGGGCAACTGGCTTCAATCATTTAAAAAGCGTAAAGTGTGGTGGCTAGTTGGCTAGTTTGTCTTGCTCTCCTTTAGTGCTGAAGACTGAACCCAGGACCTTGCACGTTAGCCAGGTCACATCTACCACCAAGTCTCATTCCCAGCCTTTAAAAGCATAGTGTGTATTTCTTTCTCTCTTTATTTTAGCAGTAGTAGGGACTGACCCTGGGGCCCCATGGATACCATGGGCAAGTCTACCACTGAACGATTATCCTTACACTGAAAAATAAAAAAAGTGTTATCTTAATAAAAGTATCTTCCACTCTTTCAGCATACCAACCCTAGCATATAATCACATGGGAATTCAGTATTTTAATTCATTCCCCTCGGCTCTAGCCATGATGCTCCCCAAATTAATTTTGCCTGCTGTGGTTCCCATTACTTTAACTTTTGCACCGAAGGAAGGGAAACGCCAAAGCTCTCTCAACTAGACCTTCTCAGCCTCAGGAAAGCCAGGCTTTCACCGCCCTGATCTTCTCACCTCCAGCTGAAGAAGCCCCAACCCCCGCCTCTCCTTCTGATTCAGACCCTGCCCTCCCTGGCTATTCTACGGGAGCTGTGCTCAAAGCAGACACACGCTGTCGGAGCCCCAGCGACTTGACTTTGTTTTTTCCAGGTCAAAATTGAGGCTTCTGTTAGAAAATCCAGCTAATCCCATCGTGAGATGACCTGGTGGTTCAAGTCTAACTTTCTTGTTCACAACTTTATCTAATCTGCAAACAGTGCAGCAACAACCCCACTTCTCCCATTAACAGGAGCCAGGGATGTGGGGCCAGTTCAATAGATACGCCTGAAGAGAAACTTAAGTTATATATATAGTGGGGTGCGCGCGCGCGTGTGTGTGCGTGCGTGTGTGTGTGTGTGTGTGTGTGTGTGTGTGCGCGTGGGGAGGGAGGGGGGAGAGAGGGAGAGAGGGAGAGAGAGGGAGGGAGAGGGAGAGAGGGAGGGAGAGGGAGAGAGGAAGAGAGAGGGAGGGAGGAAACCAAATTCAGGTTGTCTGGGTTGGCAGCAAGCACTGTTACCGACTGAATCATCTCCCTAGCTCAAATCTCATCTCTTAAGCAAATGAAATAATCATTTTGGTAATCCTTTCTTTCAATCCTGACTTTGGCGTTACCGCGCCTCAGAGTCCCAGGACCTTAAATACTGACTTGTGACTGAACTGTGCAGAAGTGGAGAATTTGAATGCTTGTGGCCTAAGGTCCCTCTAGGCTGTGGTTGTGCGCTGCCTGCACCCTGGCAGAAACAACCCTTCTGATTTGTAGTAGATTCACCTTACAGTTAAAAAATAGACTGAATTGCCATCTGATGACAAGAGTGTTTCACTATCGTCTTAGAACATGCTTTTATTTTTTTATGTCTATGGAGTATTTTTGCCTGCACGTCTGTATACTAATCATGTGTTTTGTGTCCCAGGAGGTCAGAAGGGGATCCCCTGAAACTGGAGTTAGAGATGGCTGTGAACTATCATGTGGGTGCTGGGAATCGAACCCTGGTACTGTGAAGAGCAGTCTGTGCTCTCAATCAGTAGGCCATCTCTCCAGGCCATTTCACTATCTTCTCACCACTGCCATAAATTCAGTCATAAGATATTTTAAAATATTTCTCCTGTATAAAATTATTCATTACTATTCTCAATATTTGAAGGCTGTGGTAACTGTAAATATATTTCAAATATATTTTCTTTAAATAGTAAGTCCTAGGGATGGGGTCCCTCCTTGGCCCCCACTGCAGGTTCCAGGGACGGGATTTGGGTTGACAGGCTTTCACATCAAGGGCTTTAATCACCGAGCCGTCTTGGGGGCCCCCACTTTACACTTTTCATTTTTTTTGTGGAGGTCAGAGTCTCTCTAGACAGTCCTGGCTATCAGTGGGAACTTGCTAGGTAAACCAGGCTGGCCTCAAATGTACAAAGATCCTTCTGTCTGCTCCTGAGTGCTGGGATTAAAGGCATGTGTACCACAACAACTAGCACATTATACAGCCTTAAATCCTAAGTATTAACTGGAAATAGTGTAAGAATTCTATTGTTCTTAAAAATAGGAAATAGAAACAAGGAATCCTATTGTTTATGTGCATTTGCCCACAAGAGAAGTAATTTGTAACTTATTCTTTCTGTGCAGAGTTCCAACCTTTTATGTTTCAAATTAAATACCTGGCTTAGTTTCTTTCTTCCCTTCCCTTCCCTTTGAGACAGAGCTTCTCAGAAGCTATGGAGCCAGTCTTATAACTCACTCTGTAGAACAGGCTGGCCCTGAGCTCACAGAGATCTGCCTGCCTCTGCCTCCCAAGTACTGGGATTAAAGGTGTATGCCACCACTGCCCAGCTAGCTTAGTTTGTTTTAAAATTTAAAAAAAAAAGTTAGATGTATGGGTGCTTCGCATGTATGTAAATCTGTGTACCACACACGTGCAGTGTCTGTAGAGGCCAGGAGAAGGCGTTGGCTTCCTTGGAACTTGGGTTACTGGCGGTCATTAGCCAAGTTTTAGGCGCTGGGAGTGCTGGAAACCTAACCTGGGTCCTCTGCAAGAACTGCCACTACCCTTAACTGCTGAGTCATCTGTCCTGCCCCAGGTTACGTTCTTCTAAGGGACCCCTTTGTGTGACACACTAGCTACTTACATGAAACAGTGAACAATCTCAAGAGCAGGCACATCCTTTCCGATGGCCGGCACTGCTGAAATGGGAGAACCACAAACCCACAGGGAAACTTCCTACAAGCCACGTACAGAAGATGGAAGACTGTGAGAATGAAAAAGATCCCGGAACATTCCACAGTCCCTCTATAAGGGTGCAGTGACAAATCCAGTACCTTCTATAAGGTCTTCAATGGCTTTTCTCACGCCCCTGTCAAAGGCTCGTGCATCCGCAGGGCTTTGGAAAGTAAGACCAAACTTCCTATTGTCAACTTTCCAATGATGAAACGTCGGATTGGCTTTGGTGTAGACCAAGTCCTTTCTGACAAAGCATTCCAATACCACCTAAAGGATCGAAACACAGGCTGGTTACTCGTGGGACAGTCATGGCGGTGTCTGTTGCAAGCCTAACCGAGAACCACCACTGATGGCCACTAAAGGAAGTACACCGGCCCTTGGCCTTCATGTGTTTCTCTCTCCACGTGGAAGAAACAGATAATCCCCACTGACCCCCAATCTTTGCTGTTCCCTGCACACGGGCTCAGTTAAGGCCCACTGTCCTGTCTTCCCGCACCACACTCCTCCTCCTCCTGCCCTATCAGTGTTGTGTCTCCTGTATGTCATCTCCTGCCTTCCCCCCTGGTCCCAACAGGTGTCTCCCTGTGTCTGTGGATTCAACAACCTGAATATGACTAAATCTCTCCCAACTTCTTCACATCTGGTACTGCCAACCCTGGTCTGCACATCTGCTCTGGCTCAAAACATCTGTGGTCATCTCTGTGCTGTTTCTCTGTACCCCTACGCCACCAGTCACCAGGTCCACTTCCTGTGTGTATGCCCGCCCCCCAGTCAGCTGCTGCAGTTCTAAGCTGGCGGTATTACTACTAACTGCACATTACGATCATTAGCGCTCTCCCTGTTCCTAACGACCGAGCCTAAGGATAAGGAATGGCTTTTCATCTTTACACAGAACCTAGCCCTGTTTACCTAAGACAGAAAACGCCACCAATGTTATGAACAAGAACAAGAATGTGTTCTGAAAACACCGGGGAACTGAACAGGGTCACATGACTTCTCAGGACTTCTCAACTTCTACTTGCTCCATTCACAATTAATTCTGTACTGGATTCAATATTCTCTCATAGTTTCTCACATGTTCATCTTGTTTCCCCTACTTAGATGGCAAGACACATGATAGCTTAACTCCCCTTCTAATCAGCGCTCTCGATGACGGACACTGTTTATTTCATGTCACAGAAGCTTTGCAATCCAGCAAACATCAACTTCACAGTCTCATTAATAAAAATCCCCAACTATTCAACAGCTTTATTACAAACACCAAAGTGACTCCATGGGGTTTTCTCCCTATGAAGTTTTCACAGCCTTGACCTTGTTTTGCAAAGTCCTGCCATTAGCATAATGTAAGCTTGTCAATCTAGGCTAAATGAAGGGCAAGAATAAAGGTTTACCTAAATTAAGGTAAATCCAAATTAAAGAATAGTGCAAATTTCAAGAATATGTCAAAGCAGTAAGAAATAAAATACCGCTTACTAAATGCTTTCTAAGTTAATAACAATAGTGTAATTGGCATATTAAAAGCAACACGGAATGTTAATTTTATAACATTGTATTGAAGAGGACAGCTCCTTATAATTCTATTTATGATTAAATTGCTTATCATGGTCATTTCCCCCTAAGAATAGCACAATGACTAAATGCCAGCCCAGCTTCGTTCCAAATTGGGGAAGTCCAAATAATCAAGGCTTTAACTAACAAATGTCATCCATTTTAGAATCCAAAAGGCTTCAATTCAAAGCCTCAAGTTATTAATTTTTTTCTTGGCTAAAACAAAGAGACTCAATTTTCCCGTATTTTTAGAATGAAAAAAAAAAATTAATCTGTGGCTATCATTGTCAAACTGTTTCTTTTTGGTAGCGTTGAACTCTCCATGTATTTGAAGATGACCTTCTAAATCCTCCTGCATGCTGGGATTACAGGCTGTGTCTCAAAGCATGCTGGGGACGAAACCCACAACTGTGTGCATGCTAACCCCCTACCAACTGAGCCCCTGCCCCGGCCTTGTTCCTCTCCCACTCCGGTATCCCCAGATTGGTTTCCCATGATTATGGAGAGCACAGCCCTAGCCCTTGTTCCTTCTTTACATATGAACAGAAGTCTGTGTTTCAGCAGAACCATTCCTATAAATTGCTTCTGCAATGGGTCTTTTGTTTTCCTTAAAATGATGTCTTGGGGGGCTGGAGAGATGATGGCTCAGCTGTTAAGAACAATTGCTGCTCTTGCAGAGGACCCAAATTCGGTCCCCAGCACCCACATGGTGGCTCTTAATCATCCATAACTCCATTTCTATGGGATCAAACAACCTCTTCTGATCTCCGTGAGTACTAGGCACACATGCAGTACACATACAAACAAACAGCAAAACATTCATAAACATAAAAATGAAAATAATCATGTCTTGGGGAGTATGTGTGTATTTATGTATGCAGCCTAGTGGAAGATCACGTGCTTAACATGCCTAAGGCCCTGGATTTGATTTCTGAGAGAGAGAGAGAGAGAGAGCGAGCGCGCACGAGCGCAAGCAAGCTAAACAGACACCCCCAACATTCTAGAAACAGGAGTTAATGATTCTGTTCAATGACTGTGTGATGTTCTCCTATACAGATATGGATTCATTTAACCACAGTCCATACAAATGGCCCCTCTCCCAAACAACACTACCATCTACACTGTTCCACATAAATAGTTCCCCGCAAATCTGATCGGTGGGCTCCTGAGCACCTCCTTAATCTCCATCCCCTTTCTGGTAGTTCCAAGAGGGAGAGCATCACACTAGCACTTCTGCCATCTTCCCTTTATGTGGACCTTTCTGAGGGAAAGGGAGGGCAACAAAACCGTTGCGCAGCAGCATGAAACCGCAGTGTGGCCGTGGTGTGCAGCTTAAAGCCAACCAAGCACAACGCCCCTTCGGGTTACTCAGGAATGTCCTTAACCTTCTACTTCACGGCCTGATCCAAAGCAGATACAACTGGATTCTCACACCAGCTTCTTTACACTCGGCCTTTGGTAACACACTGCTTTGGTAGGTACCAGTGATGAAAGCCTGGCTTGTACAGATGCAGGGTCAAAATAGAGCAGGGTTCCCAAGCCTGCCCTCTCCTGAAAGGGGAAGCAGGGTGACTGTCACCGTACTGGCTGGTACGACTGTCTCTTCTGTGAAGTGGGCTCTTTCGTAGGCTGAATTAACTTCTTCCCCTCCTTTTTAGGACTGGGTCTCTCGTGTAGCCCAGGATGGCCTTGGATGGGATGACCTCAAACTCCTAATCTCCCAGCCTCCACGTCTCAAGTGCTAGGCCCTCAGGCATGCGCCATCGCCATCAGCACAGGCTGCTCTCTGGGAATCATCGTTTTATTAAAAGATCAACCAAGAGACTAGGTATGGCTAATTGGGTATTTGGCAGAGATTTTTTTTGAAAATGAGCAAACTGAGCTCGCTGCCTCGAAGAAAATAACTGGAATCTCCCACTCCTAATAATAAAATCTGAATTTACAAGTTAAAAAAAATCAGAGTTTTGGACAGTTAACCAATAATTAAACACTTTTTCCCCCAATTATTTTTTTGCTTTATATGTATGGATGTTTTACCGCATGTAAGCCTGTGTACCATGTGAATGTCTGGAGTCTGTGGAGGCCGGAAGAGAATGTCAGATCCTCTGGGGCTGCAGTTACAGATGGTGATGAGTTGCCATGTGGGGTTTGGGGAACTGAACCCAGGTCCTCTCTGCTAAACCATCTGTCCTCTGACCTACATTTTTTTAAAAAAGATTTTACGTATTTACAAGTACATCAGTATTTTCACCACATGTATGCTAGTGCGAAGGTACCAAGATTCACTGGAACTGGAGTTGCAGACAGTTGTGAGCTGCCACGTGAGAGCTGGGAATTGAACCCAGGTCCTCTGGAAGAACAGTCAGTGTTCTTAACTGCTGAGTCCACCTCTCTAGCCCTGCCCTCCGACTGTGAAATATGCACTGCGCATGCACGCACACACACAGTGTCATGAAATAATTGCCGGGCGAGGGGGGAGCACACGGGGGTGTGGAACAGGTATGGTAGCACATGGCTGTAATCTAGCTCCAGGGAGGCAGATGTGTAGGAACTGCAAGTTCAAGGCCAGTGAGGGCTATGTGATGAGAGCTTGTCTCAAAGAAGAAGGGCTGGGGCTACAACTCGATCCCTGTGCCTTCCTAGCCACAAAGAACATAAAGCAAGAAAGAAATCGTTTTGTGTACTGTAGGATGAAATGGAACGCCATCCTGAAGACTGGCCCAATCCTAGCCAATACCACGTTCTCCTCTCCAGGCAACCAATTCATGACGCCACAGAATCAGGCCCGAGTAATACATTCACTCAAGATGAAGGATTAAATAGCAGTTTCCACAGAAGGAAGCATGAGAAAAAGGTGTGGGCAGGGGGTGCAGCTTCGTCTGAAGGAGGCCTTCCTATCATCCAACATGCCCTGGGTCCCCAGCATCAGCTAAACCAGGCACATAAACACATGCCTGTACAACTGGGAGACAGAGCAGAGGATTCGAAGTGCAAGGTCATCCTCACTTAAGAATTGGGGCCAGCCTGGACTACCTGAATCCCTGTCTTAAAAACCAAGCCCGCCAAGCAGATCTCTACGACAGGCAGGGCTACACAGAGAAACCCTGTCACCAAACCCCCCCCACCCCATGCAAAAAATAAAAAAAGGGAAAGAAAACGTTACCAATTAAGTTCTGATATACAATCTAGGAAGAATACCTACAATTATAAGGAAGGGGGACAGATATGGGGGCACAGATCTGACTCCCAACACACTTTCTTCTTAATCCCAGCATTTGGGAGGTGGAGCAAGGGTGATAAAAATCAAATGTGTTGGAGGTCAGCCTGGACTATACTGTGAGTTTCAGGCTAGCCTAGGCCACAAAGCTTCAGCAGACGTACAATTTCTCAGCAGCCAATTACCAAACATTCTCTGACAACTTATAAATGGGTATATGTAGAAGCAGTGTCAGTTAAACTCACAGACTCCAATACAGAAGTAAAACACACACACACACACACACACACACACACACACAGTAAGTTGACTTCTAGAACCTTGGAACAACTTCCCACACACTCCTATGAAAAAAGCACTTGCTGCTCAGCTGAAATACAGGGAATGAGGCCTCCATCTCAGGCTCAGCCAACCACCACCTCACATTCCCCACCCCCCTTAAAGGGGTTTCCTTGAATGGCCCGCCCCTTTTCAGAGCTCCTCCAGAGCCTCACGAGGCAGGAGCATTGCCTTAGAGAGCAGGGAGATCAAAGAGATGCCACTGTATCTGCAAATGGTGGAGGAGTGGGGACCGGAATCCAGAATTTCCCGGAGTGGAGCAGGCAAAGGGAGGGTTAGAAAAATAAAGCACAACAGGTGTACGGGTGTGGGACTGAAATGCCACCAGGTGCGGAAGTGTCGTCAGAGCACAGGGAGCAGGAGGAGGTAGGGAGAGGCGGGAAAAACTGACGGTGGCGGAAAAGGAACACCTGGAGGATGGCATCATCCCAATCCTCAATTCCACTGGAGGGGGACATAGAGAGAGGGGCCCACGCTGGACCCGGGGAAGCAATGCACTGTATTATGAACGTGGAGACAGTCTCTTCCCCTTTTGGAAGCGGCAAGAATACAACCGAGGTTATTCATGTCAGGTCCCTGGACAAAAAGGAAAACATCTGTAGTTACTATGTATAAGTCACTGGGAAGACACGAGTTCATAATGCCATTTGAAAGGAAGGGGCCGGGTTAGACCGTCTCAACTTGGGCTATTTTAAACCTGGGTGTGGTGGTACAGGCCTGTAATCCTGGAATTTGGGAGTAGTAGACAGGAAGATTAGGAGTTCAAGGTCATCCCTGGCTACAAAGCCAGTTTGGGCTATAGGAGAGCCTCTCTCAAAAAGCCAGAAATGGAGACTACTCTAGGTTGACAATCTCCAACAATCCAGAAGAAACCCAGGAGAAACAGCACCAAGTATCCAGAACCCTTCACACGAAGACAGTCTGCTAACGGACTAGAAAGGGAGGATGCAAATGAAAGAATCTCTACTGAAATTCTGCAGAACAGAATACCGATGAAAGAGAAAAAAAGACAAGAAACACACTTTTAAAACCTAAATAAGGCAGGGAAAGATGAATACCTTGTAACACCAGGGCAGGACACACACACACATACAAAAAAAAGTTCCAGGAGACAGATATGCAAAGGACATTGGCAGATAACTCAGTCACGCAAAGACTAAAACATTTGTGTGTGTGTGTGCGCGCGCGTGCGTGCGTGTGTGTGTGTGTGTGTGTGTGTGCGTGTATGTGCGGGCATGTGTAGAGGTCAGAGGGCAGCCTACAAGAATCTGTGCTCTCCTACTATGTGGGTCCCAGGAACTGAACTCACCATTAGGCTCGGCTGCCTGTGCCCTCGTACACTGGGCCATCTGGCTGGCTGGCTGACAATTACAGCTTTTTAACGAGTAGGAAACTATATGAGGCCATTCATAAGTAATCAACGGAGACCACTGTTACTCTATTGAAATGATAGCGATTTAAAACATATGACCTCAAAGGTTAAAGGAAAATCTCACATAGTAGCAGCACCCCTATACACTAAAGTTTCTCTCTCTCTCTCTCTCTCTCTCTCTCTCTCTCTCTCTCATTTTGTGATTTTTTTTTCCCCCTCTGTGTAGCCCTGGCTGTCCTGGAACTCACTTTGCAGACCAGGCTAGCCTCGAACTCAGAACTCAAGAGATCCACCTGCTTCTACCTCCCAAGTGCTGGGATTAAAGACGTGCGCCACCACTGCCCGGCTTCTAATGATTTCTTTAAAAAGATGAACTGTGGAACGTGGAAAAACGCAGTTAAACGTGTCTTCACAATACTATGGTGATGGGGGGGGGGCACGAAAGAGACGGTCTAACAGCAGAACCCACACGAGTGTGAGCAGCACAGAAAAGCCCTTGAGGAGAATGTCGGTGACACGTGAGTGAGATGCACAGCTCTTGACACACCGACAAAAGGCGTGTAAAAAGGAAAACACGCACAGCTGTGTGCCATGACGCTGCTTCAGTTTTGGGGTCTGTGTGATGCTATACACCCTGCATCTTATTCCTCTGCTTCGGGTGCCTCACTGGACTTGGAGCTAAGGCTGGTCAGTAAGGTGTGGGGATCCTCTGTCTCTGTCTCCCACTGTGCTGGGGGTACAGGCCTGCATGGCCAGCATGTTTTTATGTGGCTACAGGGGTCCAAACTCAGGTCTTCAGGCTTCTACAGCAAAGGCTTGTACACTCCAGGCCATCTCCTCCAACCCCCTAGCTCTGGTCTCTTTCAGACGAACATGTATTTAGAAGGAACCAATGCTAGGTGATGCTGTTTCCCGCGTTACCTTCTCCCACCTAAATCTTCCCTGGAAAACCCTCGTTCCAGTTTGTTGTTATACGACTTGCAATAATAAAGAACATGCTTTTGATTCCAATACCTGTCATAACCGCACACCTTGATCAATCAGAGATGCAAGCAAGAGGGTCAAATACCCTTGTGGCATGCGCTCTATATGGTGTGTGGCCAAGAGACTGCACTGGAAAGGGAGGGATTATATGTACAGAAACCAGTCATTGCAATTTTAACGCCCGCCCGCGATGTGTGTCTGTCATTACCAGTTTGTCTTTCTGTCGTTCACCATGGATGAGAAAGCCGCTTCGTCCATTGCCTTCAGGGTGCATGACCTTACACACCCCGACGCGACTGATCCCGCCTCCTTCCTGTGGGAACCATCCCCCGCTGGAGTCATCTCTGGTCATAACCACAGCCTTGACACGCACAATATAGCTGTCACTAAAACGACAACAAGAAGGGGCATGACAACAGTCTAGTAGCTGCAGAACACACTTCCCAGGGCAAGACACTTCTCTGGATCTGTCGCAGAAATACGGCTGACAATAACCCAGAACGGGAGGCCATCTTGACATTTAGGAAAAACAGCATGTAACGTAAATACCAAAGTTCATCTTAAAAGAGACACCCACTGACAAACCAATCTTACTTGTGAGTCTTTGAAGACCACATGGGAATATGCCCTCCAGTTTCGGGGTGCTGCACATTAACTGAATGAACAAATTAAGCTCTAGAATTTGATGTCTGGGCTGAAACGCCAGGCCTATTAACTTAAAAGGATGTTACAACTTTCATCTTCTAAACCTAGTTTACAATAAATGACCAACCTTTAACATGTTATGACGTTAAGAATTCTATTTAGCAAGCAATATCAAAATTCACTTCTAAATTACAAAGTCCCCATCCCATGGACCATTTCTATAGGCGGGAAGGCTTCAACTCACCCCACACCCCTATAGCCTTTGCTTATACGATTTCCTTTTTCTCGGTCGAAATATCTGATTCTGCCCTAAGCTCTACTGGACTATGGCCAAAGATCCCTTTTCCTCCAAAGACCAACTTAAGTTTCTTTTTGTTGTTTGTTGGTTTGAGGATAAATTAAATTCTCGCTTGATATTTTCTTTCTTTGCACATAATTCATTTGCTTGTCTTGCCCATGAGAACACACACTGCCATCTTCTATGTCAGGCCCTGCACAGAGCCGAGGGAAGCAGTAACACAGAATGACAGGATTGTGTCCGCCTCAGCACTCTGGGGCAAACGCCACAATCTCAGAGCCAGCCTGTCTCCCATGCCTCGGCTCACCTCTCTCCCAGACTTCCTGTGATCTGCTACTGTGACGTCACTGCCTTCCCACACCCGGGCAACGTCCTGTCCCACACAAAAGTCCCCTCTGCTTTCTTCACCTAGACTCGGTGGAAGGCGCCTGTGGCGGCTCTCTCAGGCTAACGTGCCCTTGCCCTGGTCTGACAGAGGCGTGTGTGTGTGTGTGTGTGTGTGTGTGTGTGTGTGTGTGTGTGCGCGCGCGCGCGACTAAACCATTCTCTACCTGCTGAGTTTTCTTCACCTCTGGGTTCCACACCCCAACCCCAATTCCAGGAAGACTTTACCAGCCAGGCAAACTGCCCCCCTCTGCACACCCCCTCATCATGCCCCTCATGTCCCTGAGGGAGTTCCCGATACCATTACATCTTGCTTCCGGAACGCTCTCCCTTCCAATGCCTTGGCACTCAACCACGGCTATCTATGCTCAGGGCACCAAGTCAACCCCTGAACTTACCACCAATATGGGCACTACCTCCAAATGTCATTTATTTTTTCCTTTCGGATAGTCTCATGAAGCCTAGGCTGGCCTCCAACTTACTACGTGGATGAGGCTGATTCTCCTGTTTCCATAGCGTCAATTACATGCAGGTGCGAGCCATCGCCAACAAATAACCCTACTCTCCAACCATGACTTCCTGCTTCCACAGTTCCCCCCACTAGGGCCAGGGGTCTCCTGCTGACTACCTCATCTCCCCTGCTTTCTACTTCGCTCCACTTGGCTCTCTCAGACCCCTGCATTCGGTCACAGGGAAACCCCACTGCACTTTGCTCCAGGGCTTATTCTAAACCACAGCCACTGACTGTAAGCGGGGCTACATTCTGCTACATGTGCCCTCTGCCTAAGATGACTTCAGAGAGCCTCCTGGCTCCTGGCTCCAAGGTGACGGATGCCCTTGTTTCCTTGGGAAAACCAATCCAGTCAGCTGAGCCCTGCACCCATGCCCGTCATGTCTGCACAATCTCTCCCGCCACACGGCTGAACCACGCCCCATTCCTCCACCCCAACATTGCTCTATGCCAACAATGCCCGTCTTCACATTTCTGCCCGTCCTCCTACCTACCGAGATCCAGACCAATGACAACAGTGGGTGATGACATGTCTCTGCTTAGGTGTCTGAGCCATCTCAAGCAATACGTGTTTTCCTTCCCAAGGTCTTCCCACGCTTCTGAGTTATTACTCCAGTCTCTACGCTGACCCTACTGGTCATCCCTTATCCTGAGGCTACTATAGTGGTACCCTGACTGGCATCCTCTATGTCCATGCTTGCCCATGTTCCCTGAAAACAGAAAGGTCAGTCGGATTGCATCATGTACTGTACTAGGAGCTCAAACCCTGCTATATCCTCCTACTGACCTCCGCTCCCATCCCAAGGGCCTCCTTGCTGGCCCTCCATATTCCTGCTTCAAGGTCTCACAGTTACCACTTCTTCCCATCTCATTTCTCACCGTTCTCTCCACACATGATCATGTATGTTCCGTCTCAGCTGGGTCCCTGCATAGCATACTCCACTAGAGAACACTTTCTTGGCATCTGTAAAAGCAGCCTCCCCACCTCCCCCAAATCTCTTCCCACTGCTGGCCCTGAAACCTATTTGCCCACCAGGATAAAACTTGGTGAGGGTGGGGACTCTGCCATGTTCGTTCACCACTAATCCCTAGGGCTTACAATGGTATCGAGCCCATCAACAGGGTGCAGGATCGATGGACTGAAAATGTAGTATGAATAGGTATTTTAAAAAATTGAAACAACCAAAGTCCCTGTATCAATACTCACTTGCTTACAAACCACAATAGCTTACCTAAGCTATGATCATAGATTTTTGTAGAGAGTAGCTCTGTGTATGAAAGACAACTTCTTGGCTACCGAGCTGCATCCACTCCTTTTTTCATTTAATTACGCGTGTACATACCACGGTGAACATGTGAAGGCCCAAGGACAACCTGTGGGAGTTGGTTCTCTCCTTCCACCAGGTGGATCCTAGGGCTCAAACTCAAGGTTGTCAGGCTTGGTGGCAAGTCGCCTTCTTTACCTGAGTGATCTCGGTCACCCATCAGTCCTTTGTATGATTTTTACTTTGAGATAGGGTCCCAGGTTGAACTTGTGATTCTCTGGCCTAAAAGCAAGGCAATGAGGTCTCACATCATCCTAGGCAGGACCCTCTCAATGGGCTGGGGATACAGGCAGGAGTTACCAGTGCTAGCAAGAGGAAAGCAGAATGAAGAGTCAGAGGTCACCCCTGAAGATGTGCACACAGAAGGCCAGGCCACACCTGCACCTCTAGCCCTAGAGTCTTGTCACCTCAGGATCTAATAAGCCTGTGCTTGAGAACTCAGAGGTTAAGAACACTGGGTGTGGGCCGGTGAGGTGGCTCAGCAGGCAGAGGCACTGTCACCAAGCCTGACAAACTACCATATCCAGGATCTACAAAATGAAGGGGAGAGCTGATTCCCCCAAGTTGTCCTGATCTCCATACCTGTGTCATGATATGCCCCCCAAATAAATGAGTAGCAGTGGTAGTAACAATCATCGTCATCATTACCATTATCACCACCATCACCATCATCATCATCACCACCATCGTCACCACCATCATCACCACCACCATCACCAACATCGTCACCACTATCACCACCATCATCACCATCACCACCATTGTCACCATCAGCACCATCACCAATATCGTCACCATCACCACCATCATCATCACCACCATCATCACCAACATCGTCACCACTATCATCACCACCACCATCACCAACATCGTCACCACTATCACCACCATCATCACCACCATCACCACCATCATCATCACCATCACCACCATCACCAACATCGTCACCACCATCATCACCACCACCATCACCGACATCGTCACCACCATCATCACCACCACCATCACCAACATCGTCACCATCATCATCACCACCATCGTCACCATCACCACCATCATCATCACCACCACCATTGTCACCACCATCATCACCAACACCATCACCACCGCCACCATCTTTCTCCTACTAGATGCCATATTTTTTGATTTTATGTATGCAAGCAATTCCAGAGAATACCCACACTTTTCCCCATATGCTATTAATCCCAGAAACAACAGGAAGCCCCAGGAGTCATAATTCTAGCTCACAATATACTTTTTCAAATATTCTACAAGGGCATGATGAGCTCAAAGCCTCAGGAAATGGCTGGGGTGGGCACTGAAGCTCTCCACAACGCAGCTAAGGCGAAACTTTTACTTTCTGAGTTTCAACTGTGTTTCCTTCATCTGAGGGGATTAAGCAGACATGAAAAGGAGAGATATACATTGTGCTAGGGCCACTAACTCCACCTAAGTACACATTTATTAGAGATTAAAAATCCAAGCATCCCACCCCTTGGCTCCCAGACTACAGGGGTGTTGATTGTGGCCTTTGCTTGTACTCTAAGGCCTCTGTCCGTCCAACTTGACCATTCCTAACCAGTGCCTTCCCCAGACACAGATCTTCTCCATGGGGGGTAAGCGGGACGGAGGGGCTTAAAACCAGACCAGGGCATGTGGTATGTTGGGTATCCAGTTGTATGGCCACGAGTCAACCACTTCCTACCTGTGGCCCACCGAAGTCCCTCAAGCACTCTATCCTGCCTGGTACAGAGGAAAACTCCCTGCCCTCTCTCCTTCCCTGCTTTGAAAAACTAATCAAGACACCAGCAGGTGTGAGGTTTATTTACAAGTGTGTAGTAGGAAGCTGGGGGACAGGTTCAGTAGGAAGCTGGGGGACAGGTTCATTTAAAAATTTTTCACACACACACACACACAAAAATGCTATTGGTAGCTGGTATGCCTTAGAAACACTTTCAGATCATGCTACCACTGTCAAAAAGAAAAAAGGAAACAAAAGCAAAAACTCCCGAAACTGGCGTGATTGTAGTGTGTGCCGGGAGAGACTTTGAAACTTTGCATGTGGCCCCAATATTAACTGAATGAAGGCCAGGTAAGCATGTGAGCTAAAGAGCCCAGGCAGCCAGTGCCATTACCAATGACACTGTGCCAAACTGGCTGAACTGGGGACCTTTCCATTTAAATGTGGTTTCTTGGGGGGGGGGGAACCCTAAGATCCCAACA